TACTGTCACTTGTCAGAAATGAGATGTCAAAACATGGCATCTGTGCTACCACTGGCTCCTATGTGTTATCATCCATCACGACCTCTCAGACACACCTTTGCACTGACTGCATTATCTGAGGTGGAGAAGAAGCAATTTGGTTTGGCAGGCCCTCCAGAGCTGTGTTACCGACTCAGCAGGTCGGTGTCTGTGGTGACACCACCAGTGTAAGTGGCTTGCCTACAACCCAATTATCTCTGTGAAACGGCTCACGGCTTTCTTGGACTTGGATGATGTGGCAAGTGATCTGATCAGGTCTCATTGTTTCTTGTGACTCAGAACCAAAATCCCTCTTAAACAATCCCAAACATTGTTCCTCACCGTACCTTGGAGAGGAGAGGAGTTGGAAGGGACCTACCACCATCATCTAGGCCAACTGCCTGACCACTTTGATCAGCTCTCTAGGAAGCCCGTTCCAGCGTCTGATCACTCTGTCAGTGAAGAAATGCTTCTTAATATATAGTCTGATCCGGGCCTGACACAGCTTTGAACCATTCCCATGTGTCCTGCCAATGGAGAGCAGGGAGAAGAGCTCAGCACCTCCCCCTCCACTTCCAATCCTCAGGAGGCTGCAGAGAGCAATGAGTAGTTTACAGTTTCATTGGAAGCTTCCCATCCTGATTACACAGACTTGGCTGGTGTGATCAGATAAGGTCTGTGGCAGCACTAAGCTGGAACAACAGCACCTTTAACTCTCCATGAGTTTCACAGACACTGGACACATGTCAGAAAATAAGCCTGTTCCCTGATTTCTGGGAAAGGAACTGGCAAAGATAAGACAGGGACACTACTAGTGCAGAAAGGAGGCTCAAAGTACAAAAACCTGCAAGCCAAGAGCAGAGTCTTCAAATGCTGCATTCAACGAGGTCCAGCTCTTGAAGCCCAGGACCTGCCTCTTTCACTACAGGGTGCTCCAGAACAGTCACATCTTGGGGGCCTTCCCTGGGGCAAGGCGGGGTCTTTGCCTTTTCTCCCCTCTCTGAGGCTGTATCTTGTCTGTGTGCAGTGACTACTTCTATTAGAAAGACAGCAAAAATAGTTTGAAAAGGGTCTACCACTGAGCTCACAAATCAGGAAGCTAAAAAATTGTTGGTTGCATATATCCTACATCGCTGCTGGCATGTAGGTACCCCTGAGAGCAAACAAACTTTTTGATGCAAGCGTTTTCCCCATGAGCACAGTCACTGGCTCACGAGATAGGAAGCAATCACTGTGTGCCACAGGGACCACAATGGCAACCCAAAAAGTTAAATCCTCTGTGTCTGAAATTTCCTCGTCCCTCTGAGCAACCATCCTCCTGGCGTCTGACCCTGAAGGCATCTCTTGCTGCAGGGTCCGTGAGAGCATCCAGCAGCGGGCAGGAGGCTGTGCAGGCCATAACCGGGCTGCCACTGAGCTAGGAGACATAAGAGAGGTGGCAGGGGACTGCGGTGGCAGCAGCCCACCACCAGGCACACTGTCCCCTCAAAGCACCTCCCTCCCAGGCAGCCCCTAGGAAGGGAGGAAGAGGAGACTGATGGCTGAAGCAAGGACTTGAGGATCTGCTCCCAGCTGCGATGCTGACTCACCAAGCCAACTCGACAAAGAGGCTTTTTGAACTTGGTTCCTTGTTTGATGTATCTGTGCCTGCCGTAAGCACAACATCCTTGTTCTTGAATGCTATGGAAATGGTATTTCTTTCCTTCCCCTCACCCTGATTTTTGTGTTTGGGTGGGCGGTGCAAATGCTTGCTCCAGCCGGGGCCAGAGGAAGGAAAACCGATGACCAAATAACTCCAGAAGAACAGGAATTGCCTCCAGGGAGCTCCCCTTCACCCTGCTCTCTCATCAGCTGAGAGATATTCAACATCGCCCTGCTCTGCTAGTCGCTGAATATTTTATACCATGGCTACAAATGCTACATTTGTATTCTGTTTCTCTCTTTCGTCATATCTATTATAAACGAGTAGTGTCTGGGAACTCTCCCAGGGAAGATTTGCCTGGATGGCTATGGATATTTTATAGTCAAATTGTGAGAGTAAACCAGCTTTCAAGTTCTGTAGAGGGGGGAAAAAGGTAATAAAAGGGTTATTAAAAAAATAAATAAATGTCGGGGTTTTATACGGCTTCTTTTCATAGTGACAGAATTTTGGTTCGCTCCATGCTGGAGCTGGAGCTGCTGGGAGAGGCCTGGGTTGGAAGATGTCCTCTTGCTGGCACTGGCTGCCAACAGGAGCAATCTGATATGTTCCTGC